TTATATATATATTTATATATATATATATATATATATATATATATATATATATATATATATATATATATATATATATATATATATATATATATATATATATTCTAATTTTAGTTTTAGAAATTACCCATAGTTTAGAAGCTACCAGTATAAAATGTATTTTAAAATGCAAAATATGTATTATTTGAATTATTTTATTTAAATACTAATAGTTCATGATAATTTCTTTCATTTATACCTCAGTTAATATTCATTTTTACTTTTAATGTTTTTATCAATTAAACCATGTAATTAGACCTCTTTTAAGAGTAACTAATTCAGGGATCAGACTTTTTTATTGTATAGAGTAAATTAATAATCAATGTACCATATTACGACTAAAACATAAATGGCACTCAGGGTTTCAGTGTTCTGTCTCTTTAAATCCTTTAGCCTGGGCGGTCATTACAGCCGCAGTGAGGCCATGTTTAGTAAATCCAACCAATAATTTGCGCTCCAGCTCTCAGTGAGGTTTACACTGCTCCAGTTTAGACTACAGGAGCTGCATGGCAACAGTGTTCACTAAAGACATAAACATTTACATCTTCAGGCTGTTATTTCTAAAGCGCTGTCAGTGATGACTTTACACTGTTCACACTGAGCAACACCTCAAACAGAAGCGGCACGTTCACACTGACAACCTTCACTTTTAAGAAGATTCATGGAAAGGAAAAGTCAATGGATGAAACCTTGGTTAGAGGAAAAAGTCAGCAACAAAGTATCCAAGTGTATTATTTATTATAGGTGCTGTGTGGATGTGTTTGACTCTTCTAAAGCATAAAAATACCATATTTTGTAGATGTTTAAGAAACATGCTAAGTGAGCATACTTGTTTGTCTGAAAAATAATGCTAAAGTCAGTAATTCTCTTTTAGAAATGTGCGTTCTGTGTCAAAATGTCTGTCTTTGTTTGTTATAATCAGCCCACAGCCAGTTTACCCAATTATATTTCAGAACCCCACTTTTGGCAAACATTTTAATATATATTGATATTAAATACTTTAATATTATGGTTTAAAATAATAAACCATAATGGCTGATTAAAAATAATCCCTATAACTGACTAATATTGAAATTAAGAGTCTTTGTTGATCCAGTGCCATTTTCAGTAAGACACATATATTTTTAATATATCTGTCAGAGGTGGGTAGATTATCCAAAATCTATACTCAAGTAAAAGTGCAAGTACTTACGAAAATTTTTACTCGAGTAAGAGTAACAATCACAAAAGTTACTCGAGTAAGAGTAAAAAGTATCTGTATCTGATGAAAACATTCCTCAAGTAAATAGTTACAAGTTACCTTTCATTATATGCATACAGTTGCAGTCAAAATTAATCGCCCTTCTGCAAATTTCTTTTCTTTTTCAAATATTTCACAAATGACGTTTACCAGAGCAAGGAATTGTATTTGCTATATTTTTTCCTCAGGTAAAAGTCTTGTTTTATATCAGCTAAAATAAAAGCAGTTTTTAATGTTTTAAAACGATCAATATTATCAGCCCCCTTAAGCAAGATATTTTTTGGATTGTCTACAAAATAAATCATCGTTATTGATTTGCCTAATTATCCTTACTTGCCGAATTAAGCTAAGTAAGCCTTTAAATGTCACTTTAAGCTGAATACTAGTATGTTGAACAATATCTAGTCAAATATTATGTGTTGTCATCATGGCAAAGATAATGTGTTGATAAAATCTTCTTTCAGTGTTTGTTTGGTTTTTTTGCGTTTTTTTTATACGTTAACAATTATAACTATTGCATTTTTAAACAATTATAAAACTTGAATAAATTGAAAATTCAAATGTAAATATGTATATATTGTAGATCGCTTAAAGTACTACTAAGGCACTTTAAAATTATTTATTTATTTATTTGTTTGTTTATTTGAAATTTTATGGAAAATATATGTTAATTTATGTGTATTATATTTTCATTTGGCTTAGTGCCTTATTTATCAGGGGTCGTCACAGCAGAATTAACCCCCAATTATTCCAGCATACATTTTATGCAGCGGATGACTTTTCAGCCACAACCCAGTGCTGGGAAACACCCATACACTCTCTCATTCACAAATAAACTACGGCCAATTTAGCTCATCCAATTCCCCTATAGCGCATGTCTTTGGACTGTGGGGGAAACCGGAGCACCAGGAAGAAACCCACAAGAACACGGTGAGAACATCCAAACTCCACACAGAAATGCCAACTGACTCAGCCGGGACTCAAACCAGAGGGGACAGTGCTAACCACTAAGCCACTCCATGTATTTATCAAGATATATTAATTGAAATCATCAGACATGGGTAAGGTTGAAAAAGTCTGCAGTACTCACTGTGGTCTCGATATGTTTCAGGGGGAGCTCATTGCTGGGGGCCTGAGATGAAGAAAACACAGAAGAAGGAAAATGGGTAAGACACACAAACAGAAAAATAAAAATGAGGGAAAATCTGCAGTGTTGATAGATTATACATCTGCAGGACACCTGGACATGTGCTCTCTAGATTCATAACCACCTGAAGGAAGAGCGAACCTTTAGATTCACCAACATAATGATGAGTAATAATGAAAGGCAACATTTTTCAAACACACACCTGCAGGATTCTGCCTAAAATGAGAATCATGTTTTTTGCTTAAAATGAAGATCACCATTTTCTCATGAATCTGTAGATGTAAAATAAAGGTTTACATTTACATTTAGTCATTTAGCAGACGCTTTTATCCAAAGCGACTTACAAATGAGGACAAGGAAGCAATTCACACAACTATAACTATTCACAGCAACCATGAATAAGTGCTATAGGCAAGTTTCAGGTCTGTAAAGTCTAAGGAAAGCATTAGTAATGTAAGTTTTTTTTTTTTTTTTGAGTACAGTTAGTGGTATAGCCAGAGAGACAATTGCAGATTAGGAAGGAAAGTGGAGACTAAATAGTTGAGTTTTTAGTCGTTTCTTGAAGACAGCAAGTGACTCTGCTGTTCTGACGCAGTTAGGGAGTTCATTCCACCAACTGGGCAGATTGAACGCGAGAGTTCAGGAAAGTGTTTTCTTCCCTCTTTGGGATGGAACCACGAGGCGACGTTCATTCACTGAACGCAAGTTTCTGAAGGGCACATAAATCTGCAGAAGTGAGAGCAGATAAGAAGGAGCAAAGCCAGAAGTCCCTTTGTAGGCAAACATCAGAGCTTTGAATTTGATGCGAGCAGCAACTGGCAGCCAGTGCAAACGGGTGAGTAGCGAAGTGATGTGCTCTTTTAGGTTCATTAAAGACCACTCGTGCTGCTGCGTTCTGGAGCAGCTAAAGAGGTTTGATAGAGTTAGCTGGAAGCCCAGCTAGTAGAGAGTTGCAGTAATCCAGTCTGGAGAGAACAAGAGCTTGAACAAGGAGTTGAGCTGCATGTTCAGATAGGAAGGGTCGGACCTTTCTGATGTTATACAGTGCGTATCTGCACGATCGAGCAGTTCTAGAAATGTGATCAGAGAAGTTTAGTTGGTCATCAATCGTTACTCCAAGGCTTTTCACCATTTTGGATGCAGTAATGGTTTCCCCATCCATCTGGATTGAAAAGTTATGGTGTTGACTCGGGTTGGCAGAAACTTCAAGCATTTCCGTTTTTGCGAGGTTCAGCTGAAGATGATGATCTTTCATCCAGTGTGAAATGTCCGACATGCAGGCTGAGATGCGAGCTGGAACCGAGGGATCATCAGGGTGAAAAGAGAGGTATAGCTGGGTATCATCAGCATAGCAGTGGTTAATATGAGTGGGCTACTATTATTGTTATTTATCAAACATATGGCAAAACAACAATAATAATATTATGTGTAGGTCTACTGTTGGTTAAATTGCTCAAAATTGAATAGACTTTGAATAGTGGACTTGAACAGACTTTACATTTGCCCTGGTCATTAATGCACAGTAAAGTGATGCCATCAGAATACCACTATTCAAAATTCTGAAGTTAAATTATTAGGTTTGAGATGTATGCCTGCAATCTGTCATTGACAGATTCCCTCTTGCATTATATTCAACATTATATAGGCTGGAGTAGTTATACTGACACTGTTAAACATTTATTTTATGCACAACACTTTGTGTTCACTATGAAAGAAATATCAAATGCTTATCATAATCATTGTTAGTGGTTCTCAAACTGGGGGTCGGGACCCCCTGAGGGGTCGCGGGACAATGAAGAAGGAATCGCCTGGTGATTTCCAAAAATCTATTTATTTTTATTAAACCGTAAGAATTAACATGTTTTATCCATAACCTACTGAGGATAAAAAAATAGTTTTTTATAGTTAATATATACTATATAGTTACTATAGTAGCTTAAAGTTACTAGTTCTATTGGATTACGACTTCTCGGGTAATTACATTTAATAAAAGACACAGCAATAGTGTCAGACGCAACAATTTTTTTTTTTACCAGGTTAAACTTCCTGGCTCATTTACAGCACTGACATACATTAAAAAATAATAAACAAAGAACAGACCGGGGTCTGTTGGTGTGTGTGCACCATTGCATGCAAGGTTTCTGTATTTATAACCACCTCAGAGAATATTGGGAGTCGCGAGCTGGCATTGTCATTTTAAGGGTCACGGGTTGAAAAGTTTGGGAACCCCTGCTCTAAAATGCGATATGATTATGTAAATGATATGCGATCTTTCGGTTTCATTTTTACTGCTGAGTGCAGTTCTCGCGCGGCTCCCAATTGATCGCTCTGTACCACAAACTGAATGTTGGTTATAATTTAATTACCTGTTATTTACAGCCTATGCAGATTCTATTCACTAAAGTAGACTTCATTCACAGGCACGCGTGAGGCGTGGCACCTAACTCCACCCCTAAACCCAAACGCCATTGGGGGATGAGCAAATCATGCTAAATTGTACAAATTAGATTGTACGAATTTATAGGAATTAGCCACTAAATCAAAAAGTTATGAATTGCAGTGAGATTGTGTTGATGATGGTTTGTTCTGTAGACTATCAAAAAAAATTAAAAAATAAATAAATAAAAAACTGCTTGAAGGGCCTAATTATTTTGTCCTTAAAATGGTGTTTAAAAAAATTAAAAACTGCTTTTATTCTAGCTGAAATAAAACAAATAAGACTTTCTCCAGAAGAAAAAATATTATTAGACATACAGTGAAAATTTCCCTGCTCTGTTAAACATCACTTGGGAAATATTTAAAAAAAGAAAAGAAAATTCAATGGGGGGCTAATAATTCTGACTTCAACTTTAAGGATAAAAGCTTCTGCCAAAAATGTCATGTAAACGCAGTCAAGTATTAGTTTCAGTAATTCTGCCACTGATTAAACAGCTTTCAGGAGTGAAACAGAAGACATGGGTCTGGTCTGGTGTGTAGGTGCATCACTAAACAGCCTGGCTAAATATTTAGACAATCTCTCGTCGCTCCAGGGTCGCCGTGAATCTGCCGGCGGGTCGAGAAGCTCCATATACAGAAGTTGAGCAGCATGGTTTATTCCTCCAGAGACAGGTATTTATTTCTGAGGAATCCATGATGTCATGGGCTAGTTTGAATCTGGCTGGCCTCGAATACCCATGTAAGTCTGAGATGGCAGAAGAACTGAAGAAATCACTGAGAGATGTGCAGGAGAGAGTTGAGCCGCTTCAATTTTTTCCAGTAAAGACAAACTCTGTGGGTTTATGAACTACCACTGAACTTGATGCCATGGTTGAAGAAGTCAAACGATATAATGTGTGTATGAGAGATGGGAAAGGTATGAGGAAACATTACAAACCTGAAGAAAAAAGGGAAAACTTGTGTATGCAAACACATATTCACACATGCACACAGTTAAAGTCAGAATGATTAGCCCTTCTGAATTATAAGCCACCCTGTATATTCATCTCCCCAATTTCTGTTTAAAAGAAAGAAGATTTTGTTCAACACATTTCTAAACAGAATAGTTTTAATAACTCATTTTTAATAACTTGTCTAAATTTCTTCTATCTTCGCCATGATGACAGTAAATACTATTTTACTAGATATTTTACAAGATACTATACTGAAAATATAAAGATTTATAGATGATTCCTTGAACTTACGTTTTGTTTTTTTAAGTTAGGTGGTTGTAAACAATTTATTTGGGCTGAATTTAAACAAACGTAATTTTTTTTCAGTGTAGTATTTAGCTTAAACTGACATTTAAAGCAGGGTTTCCTACACTTTTTCCACCTTCAAATTTCAGCACTTTTCAAGCTGTTTTAATGTGCATTTGAATGCTTTTCCAGCACCTAACACCCATGGTAAATTCCGTTTACATATGCTGTATGTACTTTTTCACATTTAAATCCATTGTGCTATTTAAAAAAAATACAATATGACATTTTAATTGAAATTGTTGAATACTTTGGAGCATATTTGTAACTTTAGGTGGTTTCTAAAACAAAATCTGTCAGTGTTGTTTTCATTCTCTCGTACCCAGACCTTTACACTTTCATGGCTGTAGCTCCCTGTCATTTGAAGGAAGGCATTGACTAAGTGATTGGCAGCTGATATAGACCAATCCATTTGCGTTCAAGAGCAATGGGCCAGAACTTTAAAATGGGACAGGCATTGTGGGCTTTGATTACTGCAGCAACTTGACATGTCAACTGTTTTAAACAATTTCTGAGCGTTGCGTTTGGGATTTTTAGTGCAAATATGCATTCTGCGTGAATGTCTACCAAATACTTACATGCGGTGCACATTTTGCAATGACAACTGATCACACAGCAACAATTTTATGCACTCACACAAATGCTCCCAAATATATTTTGAGCTTGTATAAATAAAATTTCGAGCACAAAACGATCACAATTTTGAGCCCTACAATTTTAAATTCAAGCAGGTTCATGCATATTGTCCAAAATTTAAGCACTTTTCTAAACTTGAAAACACTGTATAAAACATCAAACATTTTCCAGGATTTCCAGCACCCGTACGAACCCTGTTTAAAGGCTTAACTAGGTTATTTAGGTTAATTAGGTTAATTAGGCAAGTTATGCCTGTTTAACACTGCACATGCGAGCAGAGCATGAGCAACAAGTATGCAGAAGCAGTGCAAAGGCGTTTGCCTTTCACACCAGCTTTGTCTGCAGTGTGCAGTAGATCAGTGGCTGTTGCAGATTAATCTATCCATCCATCCCGTCCGTCCATCCGTCCGTCCGTCCATCTACCTACCTATCTATCTATCTATCTATCTATCTATCTATCTATCTATCTATCTATCTATCTATCCATCCATCCATCCACTGTCTGTCTGTCTGTCTGTCTGTCTGTCTATCCTGTCTGTCTGTCTGTCTGTCTGTCTGTCTGTCTGTCTGTCTGTCTGTCTGTCGTTTTATCTGCCTATTTATTGTTCTGTCTTT